AAATTTTAAAGAGCCATTGTAGGAAGAAAAGAAGAAAATAACTTGCCAGGTATGATTACTGGATAGCAGATAATACCTTTTTATTTACATTTAGCTGACCCAAAAGATAGGCAGGTATTTTTTTAAAAAATCTCAAGACAGAAGGTGCTATGTTTAAATAACAGGTACATGATTTCTCCAGACACATCCATTCTCAGCCCCAGACAAGGTCTCTCGATGCATCCAGCATGCTTTTTCTAAATGAAAATTCTTATATACAAGCCCTTGGACCACAGAAGCTTCCTTGGGAACTATTTTTTCTTATGGGCATTTTACAGTGATGTTGGTATAACCAAATTTCTACTAAGAATTTAACTTTACACTTAGTTGGGCAATACAACGAAATATCTAGCTCAGTTTCTTTATAATCTAACTAACTGCCTCAATCCACCTGTAAAACATCAGATCTTCCCCAAATGCTCTGTGTATAAGGAGGACACGTTACTCCTTAAGCAGTACTTTACATGTGTGCATTCTTCACTATAGTGCACAAAATGACTCTTCAGAATATGTACAGCACTTTTTTAAAGTGTTGACTTTTTCTCTCTTTCCCAAAACAGCAAATTTTTGATTAACCATGTCCCACACAACCACCTTCAACCCTGGGATGTTAGCAAAGCTGTAACTAGGGACTCGATTCCTCCCGGTTACACACATTCTTGGATTACTTCTATCAACCACAATAAATATGGGCTCAAAACTAGACAAATTCTCCACGTTTAATTAAGATTATCCAAACAAAAACACTGGGGAAAGAAATCTACTGGTCTCCTTTCCAAATATAATGCATCCCAAAGTAAAATATAAAAGTTTTAGTTTAATAATGTACATAAAAGTCTTTGTTCAAGTATAAATGACAAGCTTGATTTTAAAGGAAATCACCCTCTGGTGGCCTAGCTGGAGGAAGAAAAAAAAAGAAAGAAAATCATCCCCATCGTATGTACATTAATTGCATTCTAAAGCAATCTTGGGGACCTTGCACAGTGTGTTTGGGGTCACATGTCACTGCTCTACTCCAGGAACATGGCCACATGAAAGCAGATTGTAACTCATGAGTTACACACTGAGATTTTTGCAAATAAGGTACTTCATGAGGCAGAATGGCAAAAATGACATTTAAATGCAGAACTTATATTCATCTACAGGAATAATATTTCCCAGTTGTGAACTAATTACTATGCTTGGAAAATGCTAGCATCCTCATAATATTTTGGTTAAATTATGGTGCAAAACCTGAATTTTGCAAACTTCAAAAAGGCATTTTTGTGACATCTCCTAAGCATTTCTCTGAGAGCCTAAGGAATGCTATTAACTTCATGAAACATTTCACTCTCTAGAAGAGTCTTCACCAAGAAGATACCTCAGTGGTAAAGACTTCCTGAGGACTGTAAGAAAAATCTGTGGGTTCATAAGTGGAGGAAAAGAAACAACTATGAAATGTAGGACCAGCTGAGAACTCACCGTGAGGAAGGGATGAAGTGTGATAGGCTTGCTCCTGGCCGAAAATATTACTGTCCTTCTATAAACCGCTGGAATGCTTTTTTCACTTTACTGTGGAACATTGCCATTTCTGCAAATGGGTTCCAAGGCATGCCCTTGTAAAAATGCAGCTGCAGGGCTTCCCTGGTGGTGCAGTGGTTGAGAGCCCGCCTGCTGATGCAGGGGACACGTGTTCGTGCCCCGGTCCGGGAAGATCCCACATGCCGCAGAGCGGCTTGGCCCGTGGGCCATGGCCGCTAAGCCTGCGCGTCCGGATCCTGTGCTCCGCAACGGGGGAGGCCACAACAGAAAAAAATGCAGCTGCAGCCCTGCAAGATAACTGCACGAGGCAGGTATGGATGCGTTCCAGATGTGGGGAAGATGATCACAGCCATTCATTATTTCTGGGAAAGAGTATGAACCGACTGCTTTCTCTTTAAACATCACAAGATATCAGCTTTACTAAGAAAACTGATTGGTAGCAGTAGAAAGGCGGGTGATTTAGGAATATGAAGAACCCCGGGAGGTGGGGCAGACTAAGAGGAGGCCTCTGAGTCAGGAGAGGAGGCCAGCAAACATCACAGGTTTAATGGACCCCAAGGGCATTAGGGGATAGTGAGGGCTGCAAAAATTGAAGCAAGAAAGACCTTGTTCTTAGGAAAGGAGGTGGAAATTTCCACTTACCTTCCTTCAAACTGTTGACACTACCCTGTTGCCAAGATCCAAAACTCAGGCAGGTTCCTTGAGTATTAAAGGTCAGCTATGTTAGGGTTTAGCCTTCCTCAGAAGGCTTGGCCTCGTAACCCATGGTAGCATGCTACTGTTTCTGTGGGAAAAGTGTTTCAAAGTATAAGCCAGTTGTTTGGAACATGATAGAGAATCTCTTCATAAGATTACTCACTTCTGGGCAATTCTTTATGTGCATTCTCAGTTTTAGAATGTAATCAACGTGCTTTGAATCTCCAAAATATATTCTATGGTGTATAGAAAACAAATGAACCTTTTATAAGGAATTAAAAAATGCCCAACATTGGGCTTCCCTGGTGGCGCAGTGGTTGAGAGCCCGCCTGCCGATGCAGGGGACACGTGTTCGTGCCCCGGGCCAGGAAGATCCCACATCTGCAGAGCGGCTGGGCCCGTGAGCCATGGCCGCTGAGCCTGCGCGTCCGGAGCCTGTGCTCCGCAACAGGAGAGGCCACAACAGTGAGAGGCCCGCGTACCGCAAAAAAAAAGCCCAACATTTGTGTTACCGAGATGAAACTTTTGTACCGTACATTCATATACAGCAATACTCCCTACTGACATTTATTACTTAAATGATACTAGGTGCTGCAGAATAAATGTCTCTGTTTCATACATATAGCAAATCCAATAATCTATCACTTCGATAAACCATTCCATTAGTAGGGAATAACTACAAATATTCTATATGCAAGTGCTTTATATCATTCTGGAAATATAATCAAGAGGCAATGCTTTAGGGCTACATATTAAGGCTACCTTGGTTGTTTAAAATGTGTGTAAGCAACACGGGCACTTTTGCAAAAGATAGTATAAATTAAACAGTATCTCCATCTTAGGAAAAGAAAAGCTATTTCAAGCCAACTACACATCCAAAATGGTAACTTCCTGCTATTATTCTAATGCAGGACAGATTATTGCTCACAACTGCACATTTCAGAACACAAAGAAATTTTCATATTTTTGTTACCTTTTAAGCAAGGTGACATCAGAATAAAAACTTTTAAAATTAAGCTTTTCTTTTCTGTTAAAAGTAAAATTTATTATAATACAGTAAGTGTGTTATTAAAAATGCTGGTTAAAATTATAAAGTGTCTATATAATTTTTCTAATATAAATACTGGAAATAACAACTTTAACAGTTCTATACGTACATAGTACACTGAAAACATAAAATCATGCATAAGGCTGAAATATCGCTTTGCATATTATCCTTTTAGGTATCACTCTTGTCTTCTCCTGCTCCCAGCATCATTCCAGAATATGAAGGGGTTACAAACTTCAAGGTTTCAGTGTTTTGAATGTATGTCTGTTATCACACATTAAGAATGCTTTAAAATCACTGCTTACATTCTAATCACGTGGTTCTAGTTCCCATATTTCCCTTTCTCGATAGGCCTTGGACAAAAAGTTGAGCTAGATGGGCTTCCCTGGTGGCGCAGTGGTTGCGCGTCCACCTGCCGATGCAGGGGACACGGGTTCATGCCCCGGTCTGGGAAGATCCCACATGCCGCAGAGCGGCTGGGCCCGTGAGCCATGGCCGCTGAGCCTGCGCGTCCAGAGCCTGTGCTCCGCAACGGGAGAGGCCACGGCAGTGAGAGGCCCACATATCGCAAAAATATGAAGGGGTTACAAACTTCAGGGTTTCAGTGTTTTGAATGTATGTCAGTTATCACACATTAACAATGCTTTAAAATCATTGCTTATGTTCTAATCACGTGGTTCTAGTTCCCGCCTTTCCCTTTCTCCAACTCCATAAGGTCTTGGACAAAAAGTTGAGCTAGAAAACCTGTGATTACAGGACCCAGCATGACATGAATTCTCAATGATTCATTTAAAAGTGGCATAAAGTGTTTTATATATATATATATATATATATATATACATACATACATACATATATATATATATATATATTTTAAAAGTCCTACAGGACATGAAAGACAAGTACATCACATGTAAATAAAATGAAGCAGCTCACCCTCTGCTTGCTTACTAGGCTCCATGTCTCTGTAGAAAGGAGAAGCCGGGCCATGAAGAAGATAGGGCAAATCAGAACTGCTGGGAGTGAGTGTGTTTGGGGGGGCTGGTGAAGGTGGGTGGGCAGCAGCACAGGGAAGGAACTGGGGAAAAATGTCAGATTATGAAGGGAAATTAAATGGCATTACTTATCCATTCTTCCCCATCCTGCTAAAGCAGGGGCCGGTTCCAGCCCAGCCTTCCCTCCCCTGCCTCCCAGTGAGGGATCTGTCCCCCCAGCACTGTGAAGGCAGCCACTGCCTTTCAGAGAATATGAAGCCATAGCTGTTCCCTACTGAGTACACTTCACAGATGTGAGGAACAGCCTATAAAGTATAGGTTTGGACATTTCACAAATTCCAAGGACAGTCTGAAGTAGGCCTCAACACGAGGGGCAGGGGAAACAGTTTTTACAAGCAGCTAATAATGCCCAGAGAGGCTAAGGGGTTCAGCCAAGGGGAAGGCAATGCTTCTTCCTTCATGACAGCGCTTCTCAGACTTTAATGTGCCTGCGTTTCACTTGGGGTCTCATCAAAATGAATTAGGTTGAGGACGGGGCCCCAGACGCTGCATTTGTAATAAGCTCCTATGCACCACGCTTCGAGATGCTGTTGCTCTTGGTCTGTGGACCACACTTGGAGAAGCAAGAGTCCGCAACATAAAGAGGGAGCCGCCTCTGTCTCTCTGGGCCACAAGTATATCTTGGAAGTCCTGGGCAGAGCTGAGACAGCCCCAGTGCTATGTGCCCACTGAAGCACATCCCTGGGCCAAAGGTGGAGATGCAGCACACTGAGTGAGCAGCTGTCTACAAGACTGAGTTAACATATTTTCTGAGAGCACCATGACTCTATGAAAAGCTAAACAAATAACATAATTCAACTTGAGTAAATGGAGAGGTCTACTGGCTGGGAATAAAACTAACCTTTTCCCCACGTAGTCCTCCTTAAAGTGAACATGATTACAAAGGTATAAAGAAACAGTATATTAAATTTCATAGTAAAAGGCCACATGTGCACACATATACATACAGTATGAATTCTAAGAAATTAAATGCATTTTATCAGAATAAAGCACATGCTACCACTGCTCCCAGCTAAAATCATCTCCTCTTCCAAATACAAGGAAAAAACCTTGAATTGTAAGGAAAATCACTGCATTGCCTGCCAGCACCAGGCCACAGGCTCCCCACTTGATCTGAAACACAAAAAAAGAGGATTAAATCTTTACTTTCTTTATACTGTACTCTTTGCAAATCTGTTACTTTCTGCTTTAGAAACATCCAAGGAAATATTACATAAAACTGCTAAAAGGCTTAATAATCTAATAGACAGGAGAGAGTGAACTGTTCAGTAATTAGTCTAATTATTTCATGATGCTCATCAATTAAGTCTGGTATCATCCTTAACGTTTTCCCCATTAGACATATTTCTCTACTTGTTTTCAGTAGACAATGACTGCCTTAAGTAAAATACATGAAGCAAGATTACAAAGGGTCCAATTACAATATTAGGTACTGAAAGTTCTGTATGTATTGCCTTCTTTCATGAAAATAGGAATTGGAGAGTTACGGATTGATTTGTTTCTTTTCTAGGCAAGAAAAGGTTTTAAATAATACTCTGCATGCAAATAAAGAGCTTTCCAGCAGGGCAGATAGTTTTCCAGAGGCACAGTTGGGGATGAGAGTACCCTCTAGTGGGCATTTTTTGTTTTAATTTAACAAATAGAAAACATCAGTGAAAGTTTCCTCATAAAACGTGATGCAGTATTTGAAAGGTAAAAATAGAAATCTTTAGGGCAAAATTTAAGAAGTACTAGTCTAAGGCACAAGAAGAATAAGATAATGAAAATATGACATCTACAACCTTCCATGTGGACTTCCCTGATGCCGCAGTGGTTAAGAATCTTGCCTGCCAACGCAGGGACGGGTTCGATCCCTGGTCCAGGAAGATACCACATGCCGCGGAGCAACTGAGCCTGTGCACCACAACTACTGAAGCCCATGTGCCGCAACTACTAAGCCCACGTGCTGCAACTACTGAAGCCCGCGCTCTTAGAGCCCGTGCTCCGCAACAAGAGAAGCCACTGCAATGAGAAGCCCACACACTGCAATGAAGAGTGGCCCCTGCTGGCCGCAACTAGAGAAAAGCCCACGTGCAGCAACGAAGACCCAACACAGCCCAAAATAAATTTAAAAAAACCAAAAAACAAAAGACTTCCACGCTTCTGTTATCTAGACAGAGTTCAAACTGGCCTGGCATTCCAGACCCTTCCCAGTCAGGCTTCCCCAGCCTTTCTATCCTCAATCTCAACCACTCCCTTTTTGCTCCATCATATTGGACTGCTCTTTATTCCACATACTGCATTTTTGCACTTGGGTGCCATTCCATACAATAGCCTTCCCTACTGTACACAAAACATCATTTATCCTTAGAGGCCACATCAAATGCCAGTTGTAATTTCTCTCTTCTCGGTGCTCCTATGGCATTCTGATCATGTTTTAATGACCACGCTTGGTATATTTATAGTACACTTGCCCATCAGGCTAGTTTCTGTGCTCTTTGAGAACAGAGACAGTATCTGGTTCTTATTCTTAGTGTCCTATAAATAGCATATGCTCCAAAGATGTTTACTGCATGAATAAATAACACTTGTGCAGATCTGATAGTCAATGCCCCAAGTAAGAGTTTCATGAAGTTGAAACAGTATGTAATTGGGGGAAATAAAAGCAAATAGTATGAAAGACAGTGAATGTCAAAGAACTGAATAAATTATACCCATAATGTGTATTTCAGAGACAAAAAGAAAAATTTTACATTTGATATCGATGAAATAAAGTGCATATTTTATGTCAAGACAAGAAAAAAATTAAACATAAAATTTTTCTCTGCCTGTTTGGGCCTCCTCCCTCCCCTTCAGTGTGTACTGTGCATCTGCATTAACCAGACTTCCTTCGGAGATAACTTTCCTTTTTAATCTCATAAAGGGTCACAACTGCTTAGGAGATAACCTTCCTTCTTAATCCTGTAAGGGGCCACGATTACCCATGACCCACTACTTACTTTATACATGCCAATCTGGATTGCATAAACTGTCAGTAGTATGTCATTTGACATATAACCATTTGTCTCTAAAACTTATGTAACTGTGCTTTGATCTCTAACATGTGGAACAGTCGTCTCCTGGGTTATAATCCTTAGGTCGGCTCAAATAAAATTTTCCATTTCTTTTTTATGTCGATGATTGATTAAGTTTTTTCTTCAACAATATGAAGATGTCATCTTATTCACTGTATCTTCTAGTAGCTGTACAGTTGTCCCTCAATATATGCCTATTGTGTTGAGGATTGTATCTATGATCCTATTTGCAGGAGAAGAATTTGATATGTTGTGATTTATAGTAAGAATTTGGTCTTTGTCCCCATTTCTTGCACAGAGCTTCTAAAACCCTTGGAATTTCCTAAGTGATGAGAGTGGTAAAGGTGACTTTTTTTATGTGAATGAGGTAACTTTGGAAAGCACCTAAGGATGGAAGCCGGTTGCAGAAGGAGACAACCATGTGACTAGACAGAACTTTCAGTCCCACCCCCAACCTCCAGGGAGAGGGGGCTAGGGGGCTGGAGGTTGACTCGATCTCCAATAGCCAATGGTTTGATCCATCACGACTATGTAACGAAGCCTTCATAAAAACTCAAAAGGATAGGATTCGGAGAACTTCCAGGTTGATGATTTGCTGCTTTGGGGAAAGTGGTACCCTCAGAGATGTCATGGGAGCTCCATGGTCTTCCCCCACACCTTGCCCTATGCATCTCTACCATCTGGCTGCTTCTGTTATACCCTTTTACAACAAACTGGGAATCCAGTGAGTAAATGGGTTCCCTGAGTTCTAACAAATTAATCAAACCCAAGGAGGGGGTCGTGGGAATCCCTGATTTATAGCCAGTCAGTCAGAAGCACACGTAACAAGCTGAACCTGTGACTGTCATCTGAAGAGGGAGGCAGTCTTGCGGGACTGAGCCCTGAACCAGTGGAATCTGCTGTTATCTCTAGGTAGACAGAGTCAGAATTGAGCACAACTGTAGGACACCCAGCTGGTGTGGAAGAATTGCTCCTCAGTGGTGTGGGGAACAACCCCCCCGAACCACACACACACACACACACACACACACACACACACACACACACACACACACACACACACTGGAATTAGGTGATCAGGACCCCTTTTGATGTTGACTTTGGAACTAGCAGAGTATTGCTACAGTAGTCTCTGGATGGCCCTACAATAAAAGGTAAGGATTCCAGAACAATTCTAGAAAATAGCTTACAGTAGAAAAAGCAAGAAATCACTTGGCCTGGCTAAAAGTTGTAAGAGAAACAAAGAAAGCATTCTGCAAACAGGGGCAAGATACTGACAGATGGCTCTAAATTGGGGGAATAGAGAAACTAAAAGTATGCCTGGCCTTGAGGATTAAGTCAAAGCAGGGGAAATGAAATTTGTGGTTCCAGACGCAGGCCTGTGGAGTAAACTCAGCAATAACTGGGCAAAACAATAGACAACAAAACTTACCACGGCCACACGAGCAAGAATAACAGGAAATCCAAAGGCAGAAACAACAATTCCGGTAGTGAAAAAATAAGCCAGTTCCCGACAGGCACTACTTGTTGCATCGGAGTCATATGTTGCTCGTTTGGCAATGAAATAGGGGATGGGAGAGATGGCATGGAATATCAGGACAAACAAGGGCCAGTAAACACTGTTGGGTGCACCCAGAAGAAACCCAAAAGGAAAAGTTACAGTTACATCATAATTAAAGATATATTACTGTTTCAAGGTTAATATTACTTTAAATGCCTAGGTCAACGATTATTTTCATTTGTCACTATTAATACATGAGGTGATTTCTACCAGGAACAGCTAACAAGTAGCGATCATTAAAAATTACTAGTCCATTAATCTGTAGATAACTTATATTGTGTTAAGAAACAACTACACAATGTAAAATCTAGAATCTTTATTGTTTTCTGTATTATTGAGCTGTCATTTCTTTAGGGACAGAATCTTAACTTAGTCATCTTTGCTTTCCCTATAGAACATAGCACAGTGCCTTGCACATTCAATAGAGATCTTTTGAATGCACACAGGTGGAAACTTTCACTTGCTTGGAATAAAACCCAGATTCCTTGCCCTGGCCTACAAAGCCTCACATGATTTGGCCAATTTCTTCCATTCATTCTGTGCCATGTTCCCTTCATTCGTTCAATCTGTAGCCACACCAGCCTTTCTGTTCCTTAAACACTCCCTCTGCCTGAATGCCCTCCCCTGACTCATCAAGCCTGATAAGCTTATTTATCCACCAAGTCTCAGCTTAAAGACAACCTCTTCTATGCAGCCCTCCCTGACTCTCCCAGGGAAACTCAGATTTACTTTCTCAAAGCTCTCACTGTACTTTGTACACTCTCTACTAGATCTGTCAGCTTACTGACTGGACTGTTTACCTGTCTCTCACTCATAACTAGAACTGTAAACTGCTTGAGGACAGGACTGTGTCTCTTCATTCTTGTGTCACCAGCTAGTCCAGAGGAGGTTTTCAATAAATGCTCATTAAATGAATACATCAGTTTTAAACAGAGCTTTTGTCTGCACAAATACAAGTGACCCAGGAAGGGACTGGGTTCATAATTTGGACTTCATTAACTCATCGGTTAGAGCTTGGTGCTAAACTGACCAAACTCCCTAATACCCATACTAACAGTGACAAAGACACACAAAAAATAGTTCTTTTGGAAATGATAACTTACCCATAATCCTCTAAGGCACATCCCAGCATAAGAAAAGTCAGCCCAATAGCCCCACTGAAGGATAATGCCACAAGAGCTGTGAAAAATAAAACCAAGAGTTATAGGTCCAGTGGTTGTCAGGGACTGAGGGAGGGGGGAGGGGAATGGGGAGGCACTCTTTTGGGGTTGATGAAACGTCCTGGAATTAGAAAGTAGTAATGGTTTCACAATCTCTTGAATATACCAAAACGCAAGGAATTTTACACTTTAAAAAGGTTAATTTTATGTCACGTGAATTATATCTCGATTTTAAATGTTTTAATAAAAAAAAGAATGCAGTGATTTACTTATTTCATTGGTTAATGTTACATTTGACTAGCAAATGACCACCTATGTGCATCATTTTTAAATCATCAGGTGGCGAAAGAGCCTTTCCAGTACTCAACCCCTATCTAACATATGAATTCCCTCTATATTTGTCCCAAGAGCCAGCCAGCCAGTCGATACAACTCCACTGAAGGGAAACTCACTACCACTGAGGCAGGTCATTTCATTCTGATAGTCTTTAAATGCTGAAAACCCTTTTTGCTTAAATTGAACCCCAAACTGCCTCCTAGCAATATATACCCTTTGATCACTGTGCCCTCCGCACCACAGTGCTTCAAGTATTTGAAGATTGGTGCTTCCCAATTAGTGTCCCCTGAATATTTATTCCCTGCCTCTGTTACACTAATCTTTGAGGAGGCAGGAACATGCTTGTTTTGTCCACCGCTGAGTGGGAGACGGAATGTGAGTTGTTAAAAAATCTTGAGCTCTGAGTCACCAACATGGGTTCAAATCTTAACTCTGTCACTGACTGGTTGTGTGACCTTGGGCAGAAGGTGAACCTCTTTAAATCCGATTTTTCACCTGTAAAATGCGAATAGTGGTGCCACCTTATTAGGGAGTTTATGGGAATCAAATGAGATAATCTATGTAAAGTGCTTGGATGTGCTTTGGTAAAGGTAGCAATCAAAAGCACAGGACACTGAATTATCCAAATACTCCTCTGAAAAAAACCCATAATACTCAAAATTAGTCACTGACTAAACTAATTAACATTTTGATTGCTTCCTTTTACTTTAAAGGCAATTTGAGGAGACTTTTATAGGAAGATACCAAGGTGATTTTAAAACATCTGGGAGTATACAGACGGTAGGGGACAAGGAAGCACTGTCAGTTTTATATATTTTTCCATTTAGCACATGTCACTTTTGGAAAAAAAAATGTACAAAAGTAACTTGTCCCATATTGTTTCATTACAGACGATCTTTTCCTCATTGGCTTTGTCCCCTGCCTGTGCCTGATCATCTGCACTACTCTGTCCTCCGTGAGACCATTCAAAGCCAGGAATCATAGATCTCTTCCTTCTGTTCTGGGACACCAGTCACTCAAAGGTCACAACTATATTGCCAGTGGATGCTCTTTACCCCCCTTTTTCTTTTTCACGAATTGCATCCTCGGCCATCTCTTAAACTTGGAATAGAATTTCATCTCTCTTGTCACTTCACACTCTTGCTGGGACATTGCATTCAACCCAAAGCTCCCTGGTACCACAAGGACCCAGCTACATCTGATGCTGCAGCCCAGAGTAGGTTCTAAGAGCTTGGCCTGCACCTCCAACTCCAATCTGGACTTCTGTGGGTAGCCAACAGGGACCTCAGCTGCAACATGTGTAAAACTGAAACATCCCCACCTTCTCCTCCCAAACACACACTTCTTCCGTTTGAAGGCTCTATCTTCAAAAACCGACACCAACCCTACACTCTGTTTTCTAGAAAATCAGTAAGTCAAGGTGACTCAGTCTCCCAGGCCTCACTCAAACACACTGCTAAAGACTGAGTGATTGGGCTTCCCTGGTGATGCAGTGGTTAAGAATCCACCTGCCAATGCAGGGGACATGAGTTCGAGCCCTGGGCCAGGAAGATCCCACATGCCACGGAACAACTAAGCCCATTCACCACAACTACTTAGCCTGCACTCTAGAGCTCACAGGCCACAACTACTGAAGCCCGCGGGCCTAGAGCCGGTGCTCTGCAACAAGAGAAGCCACCGCAACAAGAAGCCTGCGCACCGTAACAAAGAGTAGCCCCCGCTCACCGCAACTAGAGAAAGCCCACGCACAGCAACAAAGACCCAACTCAGCCAAAAATAAATAAATAAATAAATTTTTTTTAAAAAAAAGACTGAATGATTGTGTCCCTCCCCCCAAATTCATATATTAAATCCTAAAGTCCAACGAGATGGTGTTAGGAGGTGATTAGGTCATGAAGGTGGAGCCCTCGTGAATGGGATTAGTACCCTTAAAAAAGGGACTCCATAGAGCTTCCTTGCCCCTTCTGCCATGTGAGGACACAGCAAAAAGATGGCTGTCTAGGAACCAGGAAGCAAGTCTTCACCAGACAACAAATCTGTTGGCACCTTGATTTTGGAGATTCCAGCCTCTAGAACTAGGAAATAAATGTCATTTAAGCCACCCAGGTTATGGTATTTTTGTCCTAGCAGTCCTAAAGGACCAAGACAACCACCTCTTCTCTTGTGCCCTCAGCTACTGTCCCCGTGAAGACCCTTATCATCTCATGCCTGCCTTCATCTCATGACTCTGCCAATCCATCCTCCACACAGCAGACAATGATGTCTCAAATACATAAAGCTGGTGTCACCCCTTCACAGTTGCTTTCACAGCCTATGAGTTGTTCTAGCACTGGAGGCACACCTCTGCCATTGTTCTAGCACTGGAGGCGCACCTCTGCCCCGCGTCACATGTTCTCTCCACTTGGAATAAACTCTGCCCTCACCTCATCCTTTGCCAGGTGAAGCCTTACTGATCTTTTTAGATTCAGGTCAAGAATTGCCTCTTTTGCGAAAGTGGTCCCCTTCCTCCCTGGAGCAGGGTTCAATAATCCCATCTGTATTAATTTCCTAGGGCTGCTATTAATAATGTACCACAAACTGGGTGGCTTAGAAGAATAGGAATTTATTCTCTCACAGTTCTAGGGGCTTGACACCTGCTCCCTCGAAGACTCCTTCCTTGCCTCTTCCTAACTCCTGCAATCGTTGGTCCTCCCTGGCTTGCAGTTGCATCGTTCCAATTTCTGCCTCTGTCTTCATATGGTATTCTTCCTATATGTCTCCATGTCCTAATTTCCCTTTTCTTATAAGGACACTAGTCCTTGGGTTAGAGTCCAACTAATCCAATATCATCCTAACTTGATTACATCTGCAAAGACCCTATTTCCCAAATAAGGTCAAATTCACAGATACTGGGGAGTTAGAACTTGAACATATTTATTTGGGGGACACATTCAACCTACAACGCCATCTTTGTGCTCCCATTGTGTCTGAGCACACTTCAGACATTTAAACAGTAACAATTATTTCCAGCTCTGTCAAACAACAATAACTTCTCATTTATCTTTTTATTCCAAGCCTCAGGCATACAGTAGTCCCACTTTAAAAGTTGAATAATCTGCAAAAAGCTTCCCTTCCTTAGTCCTTTTCCATTTCATAGCCTATCTTCCCTGTTACTGTATCACAATTTCTAACACATTCACACATAAACATTATTATGTGATAGTTTCCGGGCATGACTAAACACAGTGTAGTGCTGATACTTGTCATCTGCTTTCTGCATTGGCTTCAAATGGATATATTTCACAATGGACACTGTCCAAGTAAATCATGTTTACTAAATTAATGCCGAATATAAAAGTCAGCCAGAAATAATTTTAAAATGTGTCTGCTACTAACAGTTTCACACTCAGCTAAATTTCATAGTGAACACACACATGTGTACAAAGACACCCATACGCATGTTTACAGCACATGTTGATTAACTGGAGAGGGAAGATCTTTGCGTACAAATATCAAGGATAGGAACTCCCACGTGGAAAGAGTTATGCTACTCTATTCAAAAGATTAGACATCTAAGGGTGTCCTACCAAACCAACAGGAAGCCTTCCAATAGCCTCTCCTACAACTGCCATTCCCCATTCCTCTGAAGGCAAATAGATGAGGGAACTGGTGTTCTTGGTACCCCTTTTTAAATCAACTGCCCCATTCAAAGACCTACTGTATAGCACAGGGAACTATATTTAATATTTTGTAATAACCTATAAGGGAAGAGAATCTGAAGAATATATAATATACATATATATATATATATATATATGAAGAGCTGTGCTGGAGACCTGAAACTAACACGATACTGTAAATCAACTACACCTGAATTTTAAAAAAAGTCCTGCACAAACACTACCTTCTTGTCTGTCCATAAACGAATAAACGCTGATGAAAGCAGCGATAAAATTCCACCTAATCTACTCTCCACAATTAAGACAAATACAGCATTTCAGGGCGCTTTCCGCTGACACCCGCCTGCAGCCAACTCTGCCTAGTTGGAAAAATCATCGGGAACAACAGATTTAAGTGCCCCAATGCCGAGACAATGGCTCCTCTGGAAGAAACGGGAAACTCGGCGAAGCGGCAGGAAAAGGGAGGAGAGGCATTAGGGTGGACATGTCAGGAAGTGAAAGCCCAGTTTAAAACTCGGCAGAGGAGGGGGTGGGGGGACGCTCCCAGGAACTGGGAAGGAAGCGGGGAGGTGATGCCCCCGGGGCTAGCCGGGGTCTCCCAGGGAGGGACTGCTCCCGGCGAGGGCTCCGCCTGCAGCGACCCGGACACTCCGGGCGAAACGTGAAGGCCAGTATCCTTGCAGAAAAAGGGTTGAGGTTCCCCCAAACACGTCTCCACCCGTACCCCAAGGGGCGAAGGGAGCAGGCAAGCTGCTTCCCACCGGGAAAGGAGGGAAGGGTGGCAGGTCTGAGGGAGGCCGTTCCCCACCCACGCGCTGAAAGCGCAGCTCCAGCCTCATCCCGGAGCCGAGGCGGCGATCCCACGGCAGGACCAGCGAGCCGCGGACCTCGGATGTACCTTTAACGCCCGCCATGTCTCCCGAGCTGGGGCCGCGGCTGCTTCCGGCTTCTTGCCCCGGCCCCTGCCCCCGCCCAGGCCCGGTCCGTGGCCATATCTACGGCGCCAAGCCCGCCCCGCCACGCAGAGCTCCGCCC